AACTTCTAAACATCATTTTATAATGTGCGTTATGTAAGGCGCACATTCGGAAATATAAACTTGTATGATTTTTGCTGAGATGTTGTCAATTCCTAAAGCAAGTGATTTTAATTCCAAAACTATTGACCTACTTACTGTTGCAAAAGCTAACCAGGATTATTAATAATAATAATAATAATAATTCCCTAATTCATCCCCTTAGAAATGAATTTGGACCCCTGAAGCCGACTGAGCTTGTGTGGGGAAGGGACGCTATTATTTGATGACACCATCTTCGAAACGGTAACGCATCGCGATTTGTAATCTGGATACCATATTAACAAAAATTAAAAAACAGCTAATACGGCACACATCAAATCCTATAACGAATCATGCAAATTAATTAAAAAATTACATGGTCTGCTGTATGATTCGAAGCCGCTTTGTCTCCCAACCACAAAATTGCCTGTAAGTGAATATAAGCGCGTGAGACAACTACGCTACCGAGCCGATTATATAACGAGTCTTCCGTACTCAACGTGACCTGGTAAAACAAGATATTTAATAAAAATTGCTATTCTTAGTGACTTTTATGATAACTTAAGTATCAGTTCTGTCAAATACGTCAGTGACGTTGTTATTGTAGTTATTAATATTCATAGATTAATATTACTTTTAGTCAGCTGATTACATTTTTTTAGTCACGTGGGATATACGGGTATTGTTGAAGACTCTGTAGATTTGAATTATAATAAAATGTAGTGTTCCGACAACAATTTCTCTGACTAAATACCTATATAAAATATCACTTGTTTATAGCAGTAGGATCAGGAATTTGGAATGTTGTATTATTTAAAATATTCAAGGATTTCATTGTCTTCCAAAGGTTTTTGTATTTAAATAAGCTTCCCTAATTGCACTATAGGAATGATATTCCTCATTTCTTTGTATTTAATGAAGTTTTATATATTTTAAAATCTTTTATATTATGAAGGCGCTTTATGTCGTGTTTTCATCATCTCGTGTCAAGCAAGGAGCTTACGGTTTAGTAAAATGTAGAGGATAAAAATATGTAGTACGTTTTTACACCACTCTCCCCTAGTTATGGCGTCCCAGTTAGAAGGATACAGTTTTTGAACTACTAATTGTCACATTCAAAATATATTTGCCGGGTAAAAGTGTAACACCCTGTATATCCAAAATATTTTTTAAACGAGGCCTATTTCAAATCCATATAACTTTTATTTGAAACTTTTTTGCGTGTCTATTACACAAATTGAAATATCGAGCACACTAATGGGACAACCTGTACAGTGCGAACGTAAACTTTTACCTCCCTACTAACTTATGTACTTTAAAAAAATGTACGATACATTAAAAACTTATAGTTTGGAATAAATTTAACTTTATCCACCATATATCTGTCGAAAGCTTTATTTTCCAAAAATGTTCAAATACGTGGCGTTTCTATAGATACAGTAAACTCATTTTACTTTTCAGTAACTATTATATTAACGAGTGGATATTAAAACCACGATTTCAAAAATAATTATTTAGATCTACCACATTTCAGCACTAAAATTTATTGTAATTCAATAAAAAATATAATTTCTGGTTATTATTAACTACTCATTGTTACGTAACTCGTATAATTTATTCTTAAGATATTTAAAATAAAGTAATATACTTTATATATACAGGATACGTCATATAATCATCCGGTTTTAACACCAGTAAGAATAGGACTAAGGTATATAGGAATCATGATTTTTTTTTACCTATATCTTTTACCGATCTTTACGGTTTGGGGTCACCTGAATTCGTTTTGACCATTTTCGCAAATACGTTAGTTTGTGTGCTTGTGTCCACGATAACTCAAAAACGGATGAGAAAGAGAGACAGGGGTTTCTCACCTGAAGTACAACGGTATAGTACCATCCCAATAAACACAGTTAATCGGCACCGTAACCAGGCCGAAGGAGGCTTGCCGAATGCCGGACCACTGCCGGACTCGGCCCGATATACGGGTGCAGCTTCGGCATATAGGTAGGGCATGTAAGGTTGCCTCTCATGTCCGGAAAGTCAGATATGGATCACATCCGATTTCTACTTCCAAATTACGACAAATGGTACGGTACTCCCGGCTCCAAAGCAACCCTGACAACGGCAATCCGAGTACTCGGCTTCCCGTACATGGGGTCAATTCTCGACTTGTAGGAACCTTTTCCTATAGGAATTTGTGACACTTTCCTATATGTAGGAATATGTCATAAATTTTCGATGTATGTAAAAATGTCAAAAATTCCTATAGGAAAATATTCCTACGAGTCGAGAATCGACCCCCATGTCGGTGTCACGCCGAGCGAATGCCGACTATTTGTGAATTACTGGGAATTCAGTGTTGCCAGAATATATTTTTGTAATGTACCAGATTTGTCTAAAAAATGTACCAGATTACATAAAAATGTACTAGATTCTATAAAATTACCAGATTTTCTAATTGTGAAGCAGTCATTAAAGAGCAAAAAAAAGGTTTATAGAGAACACGAACAGAGCAATTTTAAACAATATTTTATCTCTCGACAAATATCTGACACTATTTTATCTCTCGAGCAATTTTTGAAAAACATTTTAATAACTTATGATACTATTTTATCTTTCGAACAGTTTATAAACCTTTTTTATCTCTTGTGAGCTATTTTTAAACAATATTCTATGTCTCGATAAATTTTAAACATTATTCTATCTCTCGAGCAATTTTTAATAACTTTTTTATCCCTCGAGCAATATTATTACAATATTTTTGGTAAAATTTTTAACACTATTTAATCACTCGAGCAATTTTTAACAGCATTTTTATCTCTTAAGCTATTTTTGAACAATATTTGATCTTGCAATTTTTGAGCAAAATTTTAACAATTTCTAACACTATTTTATCTCTCAAGCAATTTTTATTAACATTTTTTATCTTTCTAGCAATTTTTAAACAATGTTTTATCTCTCGATAAATGTTTAACAGTATTTTGTAATTCTCTAGTAATTATTGAACAAGATTTTAACAATTTATAATACTATTTTATCTCTCGAACAATTTTTAAACTTTTTTTTATCTTTTAAGCTATTTTTTAACAATATTTTATCTTTAGATACATTTCTAACATTCTATATCTTGAGGAATGTTTAACCTCTTTTTTTTGTCTCTTTAGCAAACTGCACAATATTTTAACTCTCGACAAATTTATAACAATATTTTAACTCTCGATAAATTTTTAATAATGTTTTATGTCTCGAGCAATTTTTAACAATGTTTTATGTCTCAAGCAATTTTAATAACTTTTTTTATCTCTCGAGCAATTTCTATTAGTATTTTATCGTTCCAGGAATTTTTAACAGTATCTCTCGAGTCAATTGTAAATAATATTTTATTTGTCAACAAATTTTTCAACAGTATTTTATCGCTCGAGCAATTTTTGAACACGATTTTATTAATTTATAATACTGTTTAATCTCTCCAACAATTTTTAAATATTTTTTATCTCTCATTAAATTTCTAACAGTATTTTTATTCCTAAAACAATTTATGAACAATATTTTACCCCTCAAACAATTTCTAATACTATTTTATCCTTCGACCACTTTTTAACACCCTTTTTTACCTCTCAAGCTATTTTTAAACAATGGGTCCTATGATTGAACGTTTATGTTATCCGTAACGTACATGTTAGGCCGAATTTTAACAGTAACAAGGCAAGTTTGTGTGATGGAAAACTTTTTTTAACACATTACTGTTACTTTGCGCCTGTTATGATCTAATTTAACAGTTTTCCATCATACGAACTTTCCTCATTACTATTAAAACTCGACCTAACATGTACGTTACGGATAACGTAAACGTTCAATCATAGGACCCATTATTTGATCTCTCGTGCAATTTTTGAACAATGTTTTATCTCTCGAAAAATGTCTACTATTTTAGGTCTTTTCCTTTGCATCGAAAGTGTAGCACTGAGCTACACCACTTCTGAAAATATCGTTCCATTTATACAAATTGTATGGATGGAACGACATTTTCAGAAGTAACGTAGCTCAGTCCTACACTGTCGATGCAAAGGAAAAGACCTATTAACTCTAAGCAATTTTTAACAATTATTTTAATTTCTTTGGCAATTTTTGAACAATATTTTTTACACTTCAAATGGAACATACGCTGAACTAGTACTAGATTATGCTTCGAGTGTACTAGAGTATCAGATTCTTAGAGAGTGTACTAGATCTAGTACAATTGTACTAGACTGGCAACACTGACTGGGATGGTGTTGTATATACAAAGTCAATTGAAACAAGGAAATTAAAGTCCAATAAAGTTACTATCACTTTGCATTAAAACGTGTATATAAATAATACAATTAATTAAATAAAGTATGCATGTGCATTTCTATCGTCTAATATGCTGTTTCAATTGACTACGGATAGACAACATCTATGTAAGTCGCCCCGGAACGACACGACAAATTATAGACGTCCCTCGCTGCAGTAGCTCTGCTTAAATGATCTCAACCACATAAACAACCTGATTTTTATTGTTTATTCCGATTATTCAAAAAGTATTACATTTAATTATATTTTTTTTGAATTAGTAAAAACTGAGTACAGTCCTGGTATATCTTAAATGCACAGACGCTCGCACTACCCTGACTGGTTCTCCCTGTGTAATTTTTTTTTTTTTAATACTTTTTTGTTATCGTGTTTCTAAGTAACTACATATCGAATTACTTCGTAAATTCACACAAATTTTATTCCATTTTATCTCTATCTGTATCTTCGAGCATATATATGCTCGAAGATCTGTATGCATATTTGCAACTTAAATCCAATTCTCATAATTCTTCCAGACATCTAAAAACATAATCAATCTATGGTATGCAACACATTATACATATAAAGATTTGTGCGCCATCTTTTCATTTGTAGTTGACTCAAAATTATAAATGACAGATGACAGTCATTATTGTCATAGCAACTGTAAATGCCAAGATTCAAAACAAACTAGAGAGAAGTTTGAAAACTACGTTTTTATTTTCATTAAAAATGTTTATCTACTTAAGTAAGAAGGTAAATTTCTTTCATTCATATTGGTTTATCATTTTTTATATTTTCTAAATTTTCAGATTGCTATTCCAAACAATACTAAAATAAACGCTATCGCTTGGAACAAACTAGATGGATACATTGCTGTTGGAGGAGAGAATGGTCTTTTAAAAGTTTTAAAATTAGATTCAGGTAAATACCAATCTAATGTATCTATAAACTACTAATTAAATTTATTCTTAAATCCAATAGCTACAGAAAATGATGGTAGTGGTAGTAACAAAAGTAGAGGTCTAGCAGCAACTAGTAACTTGTCAATGAATCAAGCGTTGGAGGGCCATACAGAGAACATACAAGTTTTAGTATGGAATGAATCTCACAAAAAGTTAACTACCAGTGATGAAAATGGTGTGATAATCGTTTGGATGCTATATAAGGTAGGTGTATTTAGAAAAATACAATTGGGTGCCTTAGTTGATTACTCAAAATATATATATAATTTTAAGGGTGCTTGGTATGAAGAGATGATTAACAACAGAAAGAAATCGACAGTAGTAGGGATGTCCTGGAGTGCCGATGGTCAGAAAATTTGCATAATTTATGAAGACGGTGCTGTTATAGTTGGTTGTGTGGGAGGCAACAGAATTTGGGGCAAAGAACTCAAACAAGTTCAGTTAGCTGGTGTGCAATGGTCTCCTGACAGTAAATTTTTATTATTTAGTTTAAAAAATGGTCAACTTCATCTCTATGATAACCAGGGAAACTTTGTAGTAAGTTAAAACAATTGTATTTCAAAACTTTTTAATCATCATTAAATTGTCTTAAAAGTGTTCAATATTGTTATGATTTTAAGAATGCTGATTATTTCGGTTTAAATAATTACTTTGCACCTATTAATTGGGCGTTGTTGATGATAATGATAAAGTTGGCAATACCAATCAAGGACTTTTTCTAAATCTTACAGTAATGAAATTGCTGATGTCTCTTTGATTGATAACATTATTAGAAATGTACTTCATATTCCAAATTTTTTAATGAAATTCTAAGTTTAAAGGATATATTAAGCCATAGTCCCTATTGAATCCCCTCTTAATTTCTGAAATGATGCGCAGCTACACTAAATCGCCCTATTAATTTTTTTTGGTCCAACTGTTATTAGAATTAAAATAATTTTCCACATCATGAAGGTCTAGTTTTGTTGTTCCTGTATTTAAAACCGGCGATAGTTGTGATATACACAATTACAGGCCCATCAGTATATCATCTATCATACCAAAACTTTTTGAAAAACTTTATTAATCAAGATGGTTTTACTGCAGGTAGATCTACAGTTACCAATCTGATGGTCTATCAACAAAATGTTCTTTCTAAATTTTATGAAAATATGAAAGTTGGCACAATATAGGTATTTTGATTTTAGTAGCCTTTGACCATGTTGATCATACTTTATAGTTATTTAAAAATTAATCGTCTTTCTGACTTGTTTTGAAAGCTATTTAAAAAACAGTTCAAATGGTAAGGACAGATGGTAGTCTGTCCATCCAATATGACGTACCTTCAGGGGTTCCACAAGGTTCCAATGTGGGACCATTATTCTTACTATATATCAATATTATTGAATATATTTTCCAATATAGTAAATTTCTTACTATATATCATTAATATTGAAAATATTTTCCAATTTAGTAAATTTTTATTTTTTACTGATGACTTATGCACTGCATGATTGGTCTATGAAGAACTGTATGTCACTTACTATCAACAAGTGTTAAACAATTATTACTTTTGGTAGAGAACAGAAGAAGATTATATTTGATTACTCAATGGCGAATTAATTTATTAAACTTGTTAATGAGATGCAAGAATTAGTGGTGCTTTTAGATCAACATGTCGTTTGTTCCTCATACCACTGATACAATTTAGAAAGCTGCAAGAAAAAACTCTTGATAATTTCCATTCATTCCTAGTGATTTTTATTGATATTTATTAATAAAAAGAATTACTTAATACTTACGTGTTGGGTTCGTTTGTTTTTAAAATGTATTATTTATGATTTTTGTATATTTTTTATTGTAATGGGGATTTCACGTATGTTGTTCAATCAAATAAATAAACTTTTTGTGTCCGTGTACAAACTAAAAATCCTTAAATTGTCTTACAGATGAAAGTAAATATAGTTTGTCATGATGCAAGCTTTGACGTAATTCCTATAGTTGGTTTAGATTGGTACAATGGTGTAAATGGAAATATGTATGCTTTATGTCCAAATTTAGCAATAACATTTGAAAATGGCAAAACTCAGCTCATGAAAAATGAAAGTGATACAGGTACTTACTGTTAATATTTAAAAACCATAGTTGAATTAATGGATTATCCTTATTTTTATTATAGCTCCCATTGTTGTTGATACAAGAATGTTTGCAGTACATTGTTCTTGGAATCATAATGGATCTCTTTTGGCCATATGTGGGAGACAGTTTGCAGATGAAAAACAAGTCAATCTTGTACAATTTTACAACCCTTTCGGAGAAGTAAATACAATAAATATAATAAAGTTGTCTATCCTTTGGTTGAAGCATATATTTTTTAACTAATATAATTTTTTTAGCATTTAAGGACATTAAAAGTTCCTGGAAATTCAATATCTTGCTGCGTATGGGAAGGTGGCTCTTTGAGGGTGGCTCTTGCAGTGGATTCTTTTGTATACTTTGCCAATATAAGGCCAGACTATAAATGGTGTTACTTTAAAAAAACAGTGGTTTTTAGTTCTTGCAGACCACATAAAGCCGGCGTAAGTCTTTCTTTTTGGGATACCAGCAACAACCAGGTAACTTGAGTTTTGGAAAATATTTACCATACATTTTTCTGTAAATTTAATTTTCTAGTGTCACACAAGATGGGTATCAGTGTTGTTAGGTATAGCAGGTTATGGAGACCATTGTATAGTTGCAATAAGGTCCGAAAATGAAGACAATTTGGGAAAGTACGGCCTAATACTATACAATACCCTAGGAACACCGGTTGATGGTTTGTTAATCATAAATGATTACTAAAAACTATTCTTATGTTTCTTTTTTTTAGGAAAATATATCAATATTGAACCCATAAGCGTAGCAATGAATTCTTATCAAGTTTTTGCCGCTTCTAAAAACAATTTTATTGTTTGGCATTACAAAACACCAAAATCAATAACAGGTATTGCTTAATTCAAATTATTTATCTCATACAATCCAGCTTATATACATTTTGTATCTATTTAGTGGGCAGTACAAGAATCAAAATGTTCCATATAGATGATAATCCTTCAGGGGCTGTGGAAATAATTCAAGAACTCGAAGGTACCAACACCATACCTGTTAGTACTCATGAAACTATAGATCCAGTATGGTGTGTAGTAGCTACCGATAAATGCTTAGTTATAGGCAGAGATTCTGGTCTTATCCAGTACTATGCATTACCTCACATAGTACTGACCAACAGATATAAAATTAGTACTAGACCCCATAAAATGGCCATCAATTCAAATTCAACGTAAGTTTTTTTTAATGTTAATATATTTTTTTACTTAATGAGTGATATATTGCACCTGATCTACATAGATCTATTTGCAATTTATTATTAATTTAAATTAATTTAATGTTTAAAACTAAAAAATCACCCATTCTTCTTTATTTGTATTAAAACGTAGACTATTTTACTGCTTTTAGACATTTGCACATAAGACCTGACAGTTTTGTCCTCTTCAATGTTCTTTCCATTTCATGCTGGTTGAGGATCTGCACAATCTCGATGTTCACAGACATGTGTATGAAGCCTAGCTTAGTGTTTCTGGGCATATCTTTGGATTTCTTCTTTAACGGTATCTATCCTGAGATCTCTATGTAAATGTAAATCCACAATATTTCGGGAATGATATTCACATTAGTTGATTTAGCACAACCTTAAAGCTGTAGCTTGTTTGTAGATAATTTTGATGGTCTACTAATTAACCAGTACCTACATTGTTCTATATTTTACATCACTCTCGTGATGTGCTCTTTCCATCTAAGCTTTGCTTCTTTTTTGGGTGGAAAAATGCATTTACACACTTTCAACTTAGAGGTTGTTGACGGGACAGTGTGGGCCTCTGGATTCAATACCCACTAAAAATCACCCGCCTTTCTGCTGTAACCCTTTTTACTGGAAACCGCTCTCGCATTACTTCAGTGCAGGCCCTCTTCTCTCTGCTTTCTTTCTCTTTGGTCTCTATTAGGTGCCGAATTATTTCATATGCAGTGTTCCATCTACTTTCTGATTTCAACAAATGCGACATCATATTTCCCGCGTTGAAGATTACTCTTGTGTTTCTCAGGAAGGCGTTCTCGTTTATTCTACCATCTAGTACACTGGAATAAGTGTATATTCGATATCGTTCATCAGGCCACAGTAATTACAATCTTCTGATTCTGCTCTTTTTCGGTCGTGTAAGTATAAGAACATCTGTGTCCAGACAACACTTGGATTAAAAAGTTGCTGACTTTTGCATGTTGTCGCCTAACCCATTTTTTGATGTTAGGAATTAGTGTCCACGTCCAGCATCCCTTTGTACTACGGTCCCACTTCTCTGCAATGCTGATGCTAAATTGGCTTCACAAGTCCCTTTGTCAGCCCCTTGATATTTATCACCTCTTTATTTAATTAAGAGCTTCATTGGTGAGTGTCAGCACTGACTCCTACCTCTTCTCCTGATATGGTTTTGTAGGCGCTGAAGATTCTTATTGACATCTTTCTGTGCATCATATTTAGTTTTTGTAACAGTATCTTATTATTACGACGGGCACCATACCGTAACTGCGACTGGATAACGCTAGCTAGTACTCTTCTGTTAGAAGCTCTTGGTCCTCCAATATTAGTCATAATGTAATAATTTCGCATCTAAATTAATTCCTAGATACTTGGGCGTATTTTTATATGGTACCTGGAATCCGTTTGTCGTGATATCTATGTTATTGTGGTTATTTAGATTCATTAGTTTGGAAGATTTTTTCCAGGTGTTCTGCAAAAAGATCCGATTTTTGTTTGCAATATTTAGCCCATTATCCATCTTCTGTTCGTTTTAAGCTGGCGAATGGACTTAGTATCCGTAGCCAAGGGAAACCTAAATTTAATCACACACATACACACACGTCTTCTGTTCGTGTAGCTAGGGGGAATTTGGTCGATTGACGTTAATATGTTAACTTTTATTTTAGACGCTTATCTGTGATTGACATATCAGGTGTAATGACAGTTATTGACATTTCTGAAGGTATAGGTCGGCCTTCAACAGGTGCTGAAGGAACTAAACTTGAACGTAAAGATGTTTGGGCAATGTGTTGGGCGTCAGACAATCCACAATTACTAGCAGTCATGGAAAAAACGAGAATGTATATTTTTAAAGGGATATATCCTGAAGAACCAGTAGCTTGTTCGGGGTATTTATGTAGTTTTAATGTAAGTTTTGTTAATAAAAAAAGATTTTATTAAAAACTATTTTTGGTGCTCTAGGATTTAGAAATCCAAGCTGTGTTACTAGATGAGGTTATGGAAAATCCTGAGAAACCTGATAAGGATCACATTATTAAAATAGAAGTAAAAAGTCTTAGAGACACAAGGCAGTTATTGGAAAAAGTTGGCATAAACGAGGCTTGTCAGTTTGTTGAAGACAACAGACACCCTAGATTATGGTAACACAGAAATTTAAATTAAATTTAAGCTTATTAAATATATCCATCCATTTAGGAGACTGGTAGCAGAAGCGGCTTTAAAAGAAATGAATTTAACGATGGCAGAGGCATGTTTTGTGAGATCTAAAGACTATTCGAAAGTTTTGTACGTAAAAAAACTTGGAGACATCAACAGTGAAGCTATCAGGAAGGCTCGAATAGCTACTTACTTCAAAAATTTCGATGAGGCTGAAAAAATCTACATGGAAGCAGACAGAAGGTGAAATTAATCAATCTCCATTATTTCTTTCGTCATTACTTTAGATAATTTGTATTTACAGCGACTTGGCTTTAAAGTTACGCCAAACTCTGGGCGATTGGTTTCGAGTAATTCAAATACTGAAAAACGGAGTTACAGCCCCAGATTCATTGCTACAAACGGCTTATAATTCAACAGCTGATTATTTTGCACATTTTAACAATTGGTGAGTTGATATAAATAAATAGTTTATTGTACTTTATTTACAAAACTAGTCAAAAAAAGAATTAAATATAATTTTGTTACTAATAAAATAAAACCTTTTAAACAAAATTTTATGCATGAATTTAACCATCCTCGTTAATATGTGTCATGCAGGAATAGTACATATATTAAAGGATTTAAAATACGTTCTACAAGACTCCATTATACGGATAGCTCGTTTTTGTATCCTGAAAATATCTATAGCATCTGTGCTTGACCCCAATAGCAGAATTACTATATGTGGCTTACGAGTAGAAAATCAGAAAATAAAATGATTTAACCACCATTTTTGGCAAGGATTGTTAATCCAGAGCATGTTTTATTTAACTACTTGGAAAGAGAGTCTAGTTGGACAGAAACATTTAATGATTCGTCTAGATAGATTGCAAGGCATTCTGTAAAAATGGTATTTGAAGATTATTTAATATAATATTAGAATTATCTGACACACGATTAGTTTTGAAAAAAAAAACTGCACTGGTTTTAGCAGTATTTAAGATTAGTCTCGAGTTTAAAATCCATCCTTCTACCGCAGAAAGCACATAGCTGCCCTTCAAGGTTAGTTCTGCAAAATTTGATGCTTCAATGAACGAGCTGTCGTCTTCATATTTGATTATTTGACCTTGTTTGACAATCGTTTTACAAATCTGAATCCCCTTTTTTAAAGCAAGGGATAATAATTGCATGTTTGAGTTTTGAAGAATAATGGCCTGTATTTAATGATGCATTGATTATATGGGCAAGAGGTTTGCATATATTTTGTATGCACCTTTTTATTAGATAACTCTTTTTCCATTTTATCTTATTCAGTTACAGTTATTGGCGATAATCAAACTTGCATTTTGTAGGGCATCAGCTATCGAATATTACGAATTAGCTAAAAACACATCTAAAATGATCGAATGTTACTACCATTTAGAAGACTGGAAGAGTCTGGAATCCATGATAGACTCCCTACAAGAGGCCGATCCTCTTCTGGAATTAATAGGCGATATGTTTGCTTCAAGTGCAGTCCATACAGAAGCAGTCAAGGCGTATGTCAAAGTTGGAAAAATGAAATCCGCTATAAATGTATGCATTCTACACAATCGTTGGGACGTAGCCATAGATTTAGCGAAAACCTACAATATTACAAAAATTTCCGAATTATTGATGAAATATACGATTCATCTGGTCGAACAAGGCCAAATAATGAATGCCATACAGGTTAATGTTCAGGCTAAATGCTATTTGGAAGCTGCCGAACATGCTTTTAAGGTAATTTTTGGTAATGATCGAATTATAATTATGCCAAATTCAATTTTTTGCTTTGCTTTACAGTTAGCGGACTTAGAAGCGCAGAAACCTAACAAAAATTTATTGAAAATTAAGAAACACTATGTATACGCAGCTAAATTAACAGATCTATACAAAAAACCTGCTGGCTCTGGTAAGTAAACTACTAAAAATAACTAAATTAACGTTTATTTTATAATAATATTTTTCTATTTTACAGGAGATTGGGAAAATTCAAATGATTTATTAATCGAAAATGCTTGGAAAGGTGCTGAGGCTTACCACTATTTTATATTAGCTCAAAGATTTCTGTATAACGGAAATCAACACGAAGCATTGTGTGTTGCCTACAAGCTACAAGATTATTCAGAATACATTCTCCCCATAGATCTGTACTCTCTTTTAGCTCTGGTAGCCTGTGTTGATCGATGTTTCGGTGTATGTTCTATAGCATTGATGAAGCTAAAAGATCTACAAAACGTAAGTGAATAGAAATTCTGACATCGACGTATAGAGAGTATAATTATCAATTGTCATTTAAAATAAAAATACATAAGTATATACTCAACATACTTTTAAAATATTCTGTACACTTTTTAAAAAATGTTGATACATTTTTTCATGGTTTTATCAACTCTAAAATGTTGCTTGCTTTTTGTATTGTGTTCATGAATATCCTGATTATAATATTTTGTAAATATACTAGAGAGATTTCTGATTTAATCTTAAATATAAATAGTAGGAAATAAAATGGTAACCACTGATGAACATTAACATGGAATTGATTGGTTCCCATCACGAACAGGTCAATATTATCCTCGTATCTTTGTTTTGTAATCGCTCTAACTCATTCTGGTTGAGAAAATGCAATATAGTCTCAGAACAATTAAAATGGGGCAACAGCGCCTCAAATAGTTAATTTTAAATTAAATGTTTTTTATAACGTTATTTGTATGCTCCTTAAATTGCAAATTTGTATCAACCATAACCCCTGGATATAATTTTTTTTTGTTTCCCGGAAGCTTTACTTAAACAGAAACAATCTGCGATGCTACAGTTTTTTTGGTGGTTGGAAAATCTTCTAAAGACTAAAAATCACCCCTTGTTGCTTTCTGATGAACACCGGAATCACCTGTTATAGGTATTCATCAGTACCTGCAATGGTTGTACTCTTCAGTACTCAGTTCTCTTTTTACCTATTTGCGAGAATATATCTATTGGTTATTCACTACTTGTCTATCTTCTATTTCTTTTTATTTCATAATATTCTTTATGAAATTATGGATCAGCGCTTTCCTTGAGCTTTTATCATTTCTCTTAAATTTTGTTACTATACTCTTCACACAGTAGTAGTCCGTAAGATAGTGACAGGTTTAGGTGCCCCATTTTCGCATACAAGCCTCGAAGAGGGTTGAAAAGTACATCGATTTTAAGTAGAATGAAAGGAAATTTACGAGTGGCTGGCTAAAGGGTTGAAATAACGGCGTAATCTTCTAAGAAAAAATCTAGATTTGCCCGATTTTTCTACACAAGCCCATCGAATGTATGAAAACGTACGTCGTCACTAGTCCGAAAAACATATTTTCTTGAATGACCCGAATGTATAAGTGCATTTTGGGGTCGGAACATTTTTCTGATACGGAAAATCGAATTTTCCATGTGTTATCCCCAAGAGCCACTCGTAAATTTTCTTTTATTCCACTTAACATCGATGTACTTTTCAACCCTCTTCGAGGTTTGTATGCGAAAATGGGACACCTAAATCGGTCACTATTTGACGGTCCATAGTCTGTGAAGAGTATTATGCATTCGCTTTATCCATCCGTCTGTTTGTCCGATGTCACGTGTTTTGTCCGCAAAAACGGAAAACGATATCAGTTTGAAAATTTAAGGAAAAATCAAGCTCTATAAGGGGACGAAGCTTATTGACTCAGAAACAAGAAACGGTATCAAATTGAAATGTTCAGGAAAAAACAAGCTTTATAAGGAATGAAGCCTATTGATTCTAAAAAAAAAATCTGTGAAGAGTATAATATAGAATGCCAAGCATTATATATCTTCATTCTAGTTTAGGTTTAAGTTTAGTGCATTTGCTAGCCAGTATTTGCTATTATTAATCTTTGGCATTCAATGCTCTGGCGAGTTCTCGTTCTGACAGTATTTGCATTCTGCTGTATCCTTTATTTTTACCGTATGCGTTCCATAGGAACTGTACGATGGAAGTCAGTTCTCCCATACTTACATTTTGTTTCACTCTCTGACGTCCTTAATTAGTTGCTTCATCCAAACCGATGTATCCAGATGCTGCCTCCACATCTGCCATTTTACAAGGTTATACTATCTTTCCTCTCTTTGCACCGTTTCCAGATGACTATCCTCTCGTCTGAATAATCTGTATCTTTCTTCTATCAGCAACTCAATGGGTAGGACGCCCGTTATTGCCTGCATAGCATTCGTTGATACTATCCACTTGCAATTCTCAATAAGGAACTTCGTTGGATGCTTCTGAGCTCTTTTAATCGCGTTTTTACCTTCGTGACATCCTTCCATCTGAAGCTGCATACAAAAGTATGGATTGTATTACACCATTTAATACTGTCCTGTTCAGACTATCTGAGGCTCCAACAATTTTCATCATCCTAGCCAAAGCATTTCGATTTTTTTTCCAATACACCTACTTAACGTGTCCTCCAAAGTTAAGTTTGTCATCTAGTATGACATCCAGGTACTTAACTTGTCTGCTGTGTCTTATTTCGCTATTCATAATTTTAATGTTTACTTTCATTCTTCTCCTAGGTCTTCTCAGTATCACGGCTTCTATTTTTTTTTTGGCGCATCCAATTCACACTACGGTCCACTGGTTCGTTTGCGTTAAAGTTCAGTTCTTCCAAGTCCTTTGCTTCTGCTATTATTGCAAGGTCATCCGCAAACACCACCATGGTGACTCCTCTCAGTTTTATTCTTAGAACATCCATCGTACAATAGGTTCCATTGGACCGGGCCCAGAAATGATCCTTGCAGTATCCCCATGGATGTTCTAAGAGTGTTCTTTCCTACTTTTATATTTATATAACTCAGGTATTTATTTGTTATGTTTACCAAATAACGAGATATGTTCCTTTCTTCTAGTTTATCCATAATGACGGTGTTAAACGCGTTTTTGATGTCTTCTGTAATCAGAATAACCTACGATGCTACATTTTATTTTCTTAAATTTCCACTACCTCCAATTAACATTCATTTTGTCTTTTCGTAATTTATTTTCGTTTTCGTTACAATAATAATTTATTTTACCTATAGAACTATTAATTTATTTAAAACAATTTTCAGTGTTTTCATGTGTAAAATGGATCAGGGTATCATCCGCAAATAAGTGTATTTAGAATTTTTCTACTACACTAGCAATGTCATTAATATAAATTAAAGTAGTGGACCCACGTCCTAGGACAATAAACATATTCCCTATAGTATCTGAACCTTCTGTTTCCTGTTTTCCAAATAATGTCCTAACCAGTCCAAACTAATAGCTCTTAATTTTATTAATAACCTACCCCTATTAAGTCTTAAATGTCTTCTGTAAATCTAAGAACACCGTCAATGTAACAATAGTAGTTTGTGCAACAAGTGTGGATATGGACAATCCACTCGAGTTGTACAGTATATTTTTTCTACGACATACTAATGAAAATCTACAATTTAAAAAAATTATTTTAGGCTATTTAGAAAAAATTACTAATTTTAAAATAATTCATGATTATAATAATAAAATAATTTAGTTAGTCCTCAGCCTGTTTTTATTAGTTTTCCAATAGCACTGATCACATTTATGGGTCTTAAAAGGTAAGCTCTACTTGGATTCGAAATTTTTGTAGCAATCTTAATATCGTCCGGAACTAAACTTGTTTCGATAGAAAAATGTTGGGATAAACTCTCAATACATTATTTTAATAAAATTTTTGATATTTCGTCTAGACTATCAACTCATGTTAAGATCCCTACGGCTTACAAAATAGTGGAGAACAAGGGAAAACCATTTATTCAATATTCAAGGGCATTTGGTTCAAACAGAATCTAGGAAAAGCTCGTCTGCTTTGCACTTGCAATAAATTTTTCAGATTCAGAGCTGTTAAAAGTCTGATCGCTTAATTAAATAATATGTATTTTATTTGATATGAATTTTGTATTTATGTTTTTGGAAGTTTTTTAATGTATCGTATCAATTAAAATAAAAAGTGGTACTTATTTTTTTTAGGTAACTGATGCTGATAAATTTCAGTTCGAAAAGTTATCTTGGGATATTTTTAGAAATTATGAGCCCTCTAATCCGGTACATAAATTGATGAAATGTGATAACTGCGAATTAGATATTCCTGATTGGTAAGTCGTAAATAAATAATTTCTTAATTGCCATCTTAGACTTCTTTTTATTTCTTTTATAAATGCACTCTTTCAAGGTGCTTTAATAGCGCTGTTAAAAATTTGGGATAATATAAAACAGAGATATGTTTTATGATTCTTAAAATATACAGTACGTCTACCTAAGTCGGCACCATAATATGTAAAACTATATTATTAGTCTTCATAAAAAGGTCTGCATGGTCTAAAACCAAACATACAACCACCACATATAAAATATTATCAGTCATGTACAAGGTTCGTCGAAAAAAATGAATTTTATGAAAGCGTAAAGTATATTTATTTTTATTAATATCGAAAATTGTTCTAAAAAAAGTTTATCAGAATTGTAAACTACGGTGACATATCCATTTTTTGTATTTTATAAATTCTATTATCTTTTCATGGTATATGAACCATGAAAAGATTATCTCCATTACTATAAGTGTTAATACTATTCATTAAAGCGCCTAAAACGCCCAATAAACGTAGTACCTACTTGGGGTAAAAATGCATTTTTGATAAAAATGTTGAATACTGACTTCGAAAGCACTTATCAAAAAACAAATGATGTTAATTCCGTATCTCTACAAGAAAACCTAGCATTGAGGAGGAAGAAGAGGACTACTATGACGTTCTACATTCTGGTAAAATTCTTCTCCTGGTTATGACTGCGTTAATAGAGACATAAGAAAATTAAGCACTCCTGTACACACTTATATTTTCAAAATATGCTACTGCTTGCAAAACCAATATTTTCCTAAAGAGTGAAAAAGGGGAATAATAATTACAATACTAAAGCCAAAAACAGATCATAAAAAACCAGTAACTATAAACCCATTATACTATTTCTAGTAATGAGAAAGAATTTTGAAGAAAAACTCATTAAAAACGCCTAAGTACCATTTTTGAACAAGTCATTCCAATATATCAATTTTAATTCAAAAGCAAATGTTCTACAATTCACCCTCTTATAATAATTTCATCCAATGTCTAACTCAACAGCATTCAAGGACATAAATCAGTAGTCTGCAAGGATATAAAAAAGTCCTCGATAGTGAATGGCATGTGCTTTATAAACTTTACCTCAACAATTGCCCACAATACCTAATTTTCCAAATAAAAGAATTTACTATGCATCAAGGAGTCCTCTAGGGTTCACCATTGTCTCCCTTGCTCTATAACATTTTCTGCTATGATTTGCACAATCCTCACAACAACCCAAAAAGTCCTCAACAATATGTTTTACAAGTTACTGACGATACAGCTCTGATAGCCCATGATAAATTGCAAGAAATATGTAATGATACTATTTCCTATTTTTTCAAATGAATTTGCTTTAATCCAAATAAGACTCAGTTCATGATTTTCAACCATAATAAAAACCCAATTCTGTTACCATTTCAATTCGTAACCATTTAATAAAACCCTCACAATATTGCAAATATCTAGGAATTCAACTGGACAATAAACTTAATTTCAACCACCACACCTCACAAACAAAAAGGAAAGTAACACCCAAGGCTAAGCACTTTATGTCTAACAGACAAAAAAGGTATGAATCTAAAAGTAGCCAGAAACATATATCAAAAAATAATATGTCGACCTCTTATAAAGTATGACTCTACCTAAGTTGCAAAAAAACTGCTATAAAAATTAGAAATTGCCAAAAGGAGATGTCTACAAAAAATAAAATTCGCCACCCAGAAAATCCTCTACATGTAAAGATTTCTAAAACTAGGAAAAAAATTCCAAAAGAAAGTGGACCCAGACTTACTAAACACGATCATTCAGCAGAGAGAACAGCATTTTCAAAGGAAGATAAAACACCCTGGGAATACTGTATGGGAAGACATCTTAAATCTTTAAGTAAACCACACATTTTTTATTTTATACTTTATGAATTGTTTGTTTTGCTGTATTTTATTACTACTTTACAATAAGGTTAATATTGTATAATCAATTGTTAACTATTGGGTAGAAAGACTTAGGTCGATGGCCTGTTGGGAAACGAATAAAGATATTTTGTTGTTGTTTGTTGGATACTGTGTTTTGAAATGTGGTAACTGAATTTATTTCTAGACATTAATATTTAATCTAGAATACATTGAAAAGCACTAGTCGGAATGTATAAAATAAATGAAATTGGTATTTAGTCTATATGATGCACAGACAAATTTTTAACAGTAAACGTCATAACACTAGTTAGAATTTATAAAATACAAGAAATAACTTTTCTTATTAATAATTTTTGATATAGTTAAAAATGAAGGAACTTACTATTTTTTGACAAACCTCGTACATGACTAAACAATAATAATATCTACTGGTTGTATTTTATGTTTTAGACCATGTAGAACTTTTTATGAAGAATAACTTTTTTGGATAAAACTAATAATAAAGTGTCCCACTTAAGTAGATACTAAAAAAAAAAAATATTTTTTAGGAGCTCTCAGTGTCCTCAATGTAGAATACATTTTCCGACATGTATTGCTTCAGGATGTTCGATAGTAGGAGATCCAATGTGGTTCTGTAAATCTTGTAAACACCCAGCATTAGAAAGAAAAATGTCATCATACATTACATGTCCTTTGTGTCATGCCAAAATCGAAAAATAATTAACATGTAACTTTTCCATTTTACCCATCCGTCCTTATTACAAAATGATCTCCTTCAACTTACGATGTATTTTTAAATGTAGATATTAATATTTATTTTAATTTCTTTTTGCTTCTTTTTTGTCGATAATACGTGTATATGATTTATAAAATTAATACTAATAATAAGAAGAAGAAATTGTTGTCCTAACACAACATCTTATTATAAATCAAATCTATTTAATCATGTTATTAATTTCTCTTTTAAACTTGCAACAGTAAATGAAATTAGGTCAATAGTTTTGGAATTAAAATCAAACGCATTCGGAATTGATAACATCTCAGCAAAAATGTTACAACCTTCTATTTCAGTCTGTGCTCCTTACATAACGCACATTGTAAATTGCTGTTTAGAAGTTGGTTACTTTCCTGACAGCTGGAAGTATTCCTTAATCAAGCCTTTGCCAAAATCAAATAAGTCTGAAACATTTATCGACCTTCGGCCCATAAGTATTTTACCGACGTTGTCCAAAATTATAGAAACAGTAATTAGTAAACAAATATATACATATGTATTTTCTCATAATATTGTAACCACTAAACAATCAGGTTTTCGAAAGGGGTTCAGTACTACAACATTACTCTTAGATTTAACAGATAACATTATAAGATCAATGGATGAAGGAAAAGCTACAGTAGTTACTCTGCTTGACTTTTCTAAAGCGTTTAACACTATAGATCATCAGCTTCTTTGTACGAAACTCAAATATTTTGCTTTCGATGAAACCTCACTAAGATTTTTCAAATTTTATTTAAGTAACCGCTACCAAAAAGTAACGTTAGAGAAATCATCTAACTTTATGTGTGTAACATCAGGAGTACCACAAGGCTCTGTCCTTGATCCCCTTTTGTTTTCCATATATATTTCAGACCTTTATAAATTATTGGAGCATGTAAATATACACTCTTTTGCTGACGACACGCAACTATGTTATTCCTTTGACCCATGTGAAGTAGATATAGCCTCGCAGAACATGAATTGAGATCTAAATGCAGTATATATATTTTCTGTGAATCATAACCTTAAACTAAACGCCAGTAAATGTCATACAATATTATTTTGTCCTAAAAATATAGAACATGTGCAACAGAACCTTAAGTTATTCATTCAAAATTAACCTCTAAAATCATGTAGAAGTGCCAAAAACTTAGGCATTATTTATGACTGCAAACTAAGGTTTCAGGACTATGTTTCGCTTCTAGTCAAAAAATCGTATCTGGTTATTCGTCAATTATACAGGAATCGAGGTATTTTGAGTTTCAAATTACGTAAGTTGCTTTGTGAAAGTCTTGTATTGTCCATGCTAAATTATGGACTTTTAATTTACTATCCTTGTTTGGATCAAATAACCAAATACAGACTTCAAAAGATTCAAAATTGTTGTTGTCGTTTTGTATTTGGTATCAGAAAGTATGATAGAATAACAAATAAAATTAAAGAACTTAGCTGGCTCAATATAGGAAATTTATTTAAATATCAGATGGCGGCCACGGTATTTCGAATTCTTTCAACCTCAACTCCCATATACTTAAAAAATAAATTGATATATCGGAAAGATCTGCACAGTTTACATTTGAGATATCCACACAACTTAACGATTCCAAATTACCGATTATCATTTTTCAAAAGATCTTTCTCATATAACGCCGTTTCAATATATAACAGTCTACCTAGGGAAATTAGGACACGTTCTCTGACATTTTTAAAACAAAATTATAAAACGTTGCTATTAGTTGAGCAATGAATACAGTGCTAACGTTAATATGTTATTAATTTCAAACATTTTTCCTTATGCAATTGCATTTTAAGTTCCATACATTTTTCTTATTTTTGCATTTTAGAAATAACGAATTTTAGGACCTAAATTGATTTCAGTTTAGATTAAATACAGGGTTAACATTTTTAATCATAAATTAATTGTATATTAAATTTCTTATATTTTTTTTATATTGTAAATGATGGATACCTTTTGATTATTTTAAGTTTATATTTATGTTGAGGTTAAGTTGAGTAACGCAAGCTAGACTTCGCCTCATGATGTTTATGTCCATTGTATATTACACGCAAATAAAGGCATTTTATTATTATTAATAAAGCCTTTTGATTATTTTAAGTTTATATTTATGTTGAGGTTAAGTTGAGTAACGCAAGCTAGACTTCGCCTCATGATGTTTATATGCATTGTATATTACACGCAAATAAAGGCATTTTATTATTATTAATAAAGCGTTTATTGTCCAACAAAAGAATCAATTAACAGGACAATTTAATTAAAAATTATAAAAATACATATAAAAATGTAAACAATAACGCCATTAGTGCGCTTTGTATAAAAAAATAATTACAAACTATTATTAAGTCGACCAACCGTACTTTAGGATATGTTACAATATGTAAGAAATTTAATATACACACAATTAAATTGCTGTTCTATACATTAGTGAGACCGAAACTCGGAATTTTCATCAGTAGTCTGGATGGTGGCAAGTCAAACGTTACTAAAGGATTTGAAAAGGTGCCAAACAAACTACTGAGACTTATATTTTAAACGTTATTACATTTGGCCTGACTTTGACAGAAGCACTGAGCGTATATCCAAGTTTAATGTGTTATCTTTACACCAAAGACTCACTCTAACAAGTATAGTTCGTGTATAAAATAATCAATAAAATAAATTCTGAAATTTTATCCTTATAAGGATTCAATGTACTTCCATAACTGGCTCGCTCCTCCCGTGTATTCAACATTCCTAATAATAAATTATACTATTTTGACGTTTTTTACGAAAACTCGGGCTAAATAGGGTAAAACTGCGTCATACAAACATTTTGGGAGCAATCAAACCTCTTTTACTAATAGTTCAACCATTCTACTTTCTATTCGCCAACGGGTTTTCTAGACAAAAATGTCAAAAATCTGATTTATGACGAATGAGGTAGAATTACTAAACAAAAAAATGCTTGCAAGGGCAATACTCTTAGTTGAGAGTCATGCAAACATTTTAAGAATAGTTAAATCACTTTTCGACTTTTGGTTCCAATTTTACACCTATTTCAAGGTTACATATCAAGCCTTTACGAAAAAAAATGCTTGCAATATCATATCTTAAGTTCAGGGAAACCCCGTTTAAGCTATATCCCGGATTTCGTTGAAAACCTCAAATATTCTTTAATTAATTTCGGATGAAACACTGAAGGAGCAAACATATTAAATCTAGGTACTAGAGATAAATAGAAATGTAGTTCTTAGACCAGAGGCAGAACAAAAACACTTGGTACATACCAAAAATTGTGTAATATCTTTTAGGTATACTCATCTAATTCAGAACAAACTTCCTTACAGGTAAGTTGTTTGTTTTTTTAATCATATGCGAGTATTTTAAAAATAAGTTTTTTTAGTGTTTAGTTTGGTGATGGCTTAAGGATGTTCAATTCACTTCCAGATTACATAAAATATTGTAAAAGCCTCAAAATGTTTCTTAAGGAAATAACAGTAATGTCTAAATAACTACTGGTAGTCAACCTATTTTCCTTACAATAATATAAATGTATAGCAAATAGCTAAATAAACTTATTTAGGTTACATAGAAGAATAGCAAACAAAAAAAAACTTTTATTATTTGCTCCTTGCATCAAGAAGTATATTTTATTTGACAATAGTAAATGTTATATATTATGATGAAGATGAGTAAAGGGTTAAAATATAAGAAATCCAGAACATTTCAGCTCCTACCCAGACAACACACCAAATCCCAGAGATATCCACAGAATATCTTTTGTGGATATCCACAGGATATCAGAAATATTCCGTGGATCTAATGGATATCCAAATGTCCGTCTATATCCAGAATATAGAAGATATCCTAATGGATATCCAGCAAAATATCTAATGGGTATCTTCCACACAATACAAGAAATCCCAGAGATATCCACAGAATATATTTTCTCTAATGGAGTCTGATTAGGACACAAATTTCGATCGAACTCAATTACGGCGGGTCGAGCATGAGTAGATGCGAAAGTGGTATCGCCATCTATACTTAGTAAGCAAAATCAAATAACATCTAGAGGATATCCACGATGGTTTGCGTTCGCGCCTAGACTTTGATATATTTAGTGGATGTCCATGAGATATTGAATACACCTTAAAAAAATTAATTATTTTAAATATCTGAACGGTACTATTAGCCACAATGGCGTAATTTTTTAATAATTTGCTATATAATTACTATTATTTATGGACATTTGCATGTCTATAAATTACATCTCATGGATATAAAATGGATATCCACCATGGACTGGACATTCAGTGGATATTGGGATGTTCAGTAGATATCCAAAGGATTTGGTGTGCTGTCTGGGTACTTTGTCAAGAGAAAAAATAAGATTATCTGCTCATGTTAAATTGAGGCCAATCGGACAAATATGTAGGTATATCAAAAATTTAAGCAATTATCGGCCAATATCAAAAATTACATCTTTTACGGATAAATATATCTCGGACAATTTGGTTTCAAAAAGGGGCAATCAACCAATGACACGATTGCTACACTAACAAGCAAACTATATAATTTTATCAATAGGAGTGAACCAGTCTTAGGATTTTTCCTTGACGTCTTCAAGGCTTTCGATACTGTTAATCACCTAAAACTGTTGATTGTCTTGGATGAGTCATTCTTCCAGATCTATCTAACAAATTGGTAATCATGTTAGTAATGAAGAGATAATAAAATATGGAGTTCCAAAGGACACTTCTCTTGGACCTATTCTCTTCTCTCTTTACATTAACAGTTTACTCACCACAAATAGTTCAGGCCAAATTTTTAGTTTCACAGATGATACAGCTCATACATGGGGAGAGTTGCAGACAAAGGCACATAACGATATTGTGTCCTTACTGAACTGGTTCAAGCATATTGATTTTGAACAAATGCATTTGTCAGCTATTCATCTCCATTACCAAAATATACATGTTCAAATTTAAGTAATGAAGGAAGGGCATTTGAAATGGAGATGGTAGAGAGCTTTAAATATTAAGAGTTAATATAGATCAACACCTAAAATGGGATACACATTTACAAAACACCAAGATTTATATTGTTTAAATATTTAAAATAAATACCTTGATGTCACTTACTTGTAGATGGTTTGTCATAGGGTGATCGATCATATGTACAGCGTTTCGCTGCATTGTACAGCATTTTAAGTCAGCCCAGTATTTGATTTTGTAAAGCAAAACGCTATTATTGTCCAGCAAACATTTAGGCGATAATCAACCGACCCTCTTGCCGCACGTTTTGTCTCTATGCAGTGCCATTTTGCCTAAGATAAAAAGAAAATTGGATTTGTTTGTTGTTCCTATCTGCTGTTTATGTTCTTGTTGTTTGCTTGTTTTAGAAGTGTATAATAATTTTTGGTTGTTCTGTTTTTAAAGAAATATTAGAGTTGTAGTTATGTTTTCCAGTTGCATGCTGGTCAAAAATGTTTCAAATATAAAGCAACAAAAATTTGTAATTTCCTTCTAGAAATCTATAAAATTTATATTTTAACTTACTTTTTCAAGTTATCTAAAAAATTCATTAGATAATTTAAAATTTCACTTTAAAAATTGTAAGTATACATTGTAGTCCAAAGAACCTTACTGGATTATTTGTCAGTTTATTCCTACTAACAGTATAAAAAAAATTCATTTATTGAATAAACAGATTTTTTAATTAGGCAAAAATTAAAAACCAATTAACATATAAACTTTATTGAAAACAATTTAACAAATTAGAAGTTGGTAAAGATAAAAACCAAATCATCTTATTGACAGTAATACAAAAATACAAGAGTTTGTATTATAAAAATAGAGAACAGACTGGTATAGAAAACTCTAAATGCAGTTTAACTATAAAGAAATATTAACAAATGTTTCTATTAAAGTCTTGCTGCTTTTCTGAATCTGCTTTTTTGAAAAATAGAATCTATTTTGCTAAATACAGTTTCAGATGCTTGGGCTGCATCAACATAATGATGGATACCTCTTATTTGGTAGTAGTCAACAAGTGGTTTAGTCTGGGAATGATATGTAAGTAATCTTTTTCTTAAAGCTTCAATGTTATCATCTGATCTCCTAATCAAAGGTTCCCCAGTAAGATCGTCACACATAGAAACTTTAGGGGGTCTAAATTCTTCATGATATGATCTACCACTAGGAGGGTGAATCAAACGGCCAGTAATTCGTTTAACAAGCAAATTGTCATCAATTCCAAATTCAATCACAGCATCTAACTGGGTATTGCGTTTTTCAAGTAGATCATCCAGCTAAAAATAAATTTGTTTATCTTGTGTGTACTTTAATAAAATGTTTTGTAAATCTTTTAACAGTATTTACAGGTGAAAAACAATTCACCAGATGATAAAACAAATAGGTACATTTTAGTGATATTTAAAGATTTTGACATTATGTATATAAATAAATTATTGTTATGATTACCTTCTCTGCCTGTACAACAGTCCTTGGGAATCCATCGAGAAGGAAACCATTGCGACACTCTGGCGAATCCAGATTTTTATCAATCATATTTACAACAAGATCATCGCTAACAAGTTTTCCTTCATCCATAACCTTTTTAAGTTTTGCTCCAAGAGTAGAGCCTGACTGAATCTCGGCTCTTAGCATGTCACCAGTGGAAAGGTGACATACACAATACTTTTCTTTCAGTAAGGGTGCCTAAAAGTAATGAATGCCATTTTGTTTTGTCATAAAACAATTTTAGATAAAATTTACTTGTGTTCCTTTGCCGGATCCTGGTGGTCCTAATAAAACAGCTTTGATTCCTTCGGCTACACTATTTTCTTCTGGGATAGGTGCAACCTTTTGAGCAGCTAGAGGAGCCATTATTGATCTTTCACAATCTTTTTGTCACCTTCAGTTTTAAAGGTTAAAAGTTGCAAGTGAAATGATAAGTAAGTACAAAAATTAAAAGGGACTATTAACGTGTTATACAACGTTTTGTACGACCTTTGCTCGTCGTAAGACCGAAGTAAAAGCGAACGCAAGTGACAGCCAGTAAAATCTAAAAAAATCTGTAAATTGAAACTATGATGACATGAACATAACCTCTAATATTGAATGCGAATGTCAAAACTGAGGTACTATTTTAATATTCACTAGATGGCGTTCATGTACCATAGATAAATTAATATGTTTATTAATTTATCTATGTCATGTACTAGGACCGTTGTATGAAGATTGAAGATATACAACGCTAGGATATCCTTCCTCCATGGCTAGGGTCATAGATGCTAGGATCATGGAAAAATAAAATTGGGTCAGGACGTCGGGTTCACAATCGGAACAATAGGTTTGTTCTAACACGTGCGAAAAGCGTAATATTACCGTACAAATTACCGTAATATTGTGGTTGTGAGCGTTGTGAGGTTTTCCTGTGAGTTGGAACACTCATAGAAAAACTGGAACACTTAAATAGACGATTTCATCGGAAGACATATTTCAGTTGCAAGAGCTTTGCGTCATCTATCAGTTTACATAGCAAGTAATAGAAACAGGATTAGGAAACTGTAAATTATCTTTTCGCTAATCTGTCTAAGGTTACGGTGTCGGCATAAATTTCTTCTTTTTCCTTTTCTTCTTTAACTGTATGGGTTCACATTTTTACTAGCACTATCGGAGAAGCTACCTGTAATGGGTTGCCAAGAAGCGGTGTTAGACCTCTTATGGCTGTTTTTTGTTAAATAAAAAACTTTTTAGAAACGAAAGATTGGCACTGGGTTACTGGGTAGATATTAAAAAGTGATCAATTGAAGAAGACACGAAAAAAGAAGAAATGTATTCTGATGCCGTAACCTTATATAGATTGCCGAAACGATGAATTTACAGTTTCCTTTGAAATAAATCTTGCTTCTATTACTTGCTATGTTAATTGATAGATGGAGAAAGCTCTTGGAATGACCTTGTAACTGCAATAAGTATTCCGATAATTCGCGATTCAAATAAATTTTCCCGCGATATGTTGTGTAAGTAGGGACACAACACATAACAGTGGAGTAGTTACATTAGTCACTGAAATTATTTTTATACAAAAACGTTTAATTAATGTAATTCTTGTTTATCCTCGTCTTTTCATCGGACATTTAACTGCCTATGCATAGCGTAGACACGTTTACTTTTATGATGAAACAATGTAGACGTTCAAGTAATATTATCGTTACCTTGTTACTTTTTTCAACGTTACTGGAAGTTTCCAAAAATGATTTTTTTTTAACAAGTCAGATGTGACATTCCTGTTATATCGAAGAAAGTCTTTTCAGTTCTTGTAGATGTTATTGTTAACTCCATCAAATAAAATCATATTAATGAACCAGAGCGAGTAGATTTTTTGGGCACGTGACATCGAGCAACCATATCAATGGATCAAACGGAGAAAAAAGAAGGGGTTTCTAGTACAACACAAAGGTAAAAGCAGGGGGGTTTATATCCTTCCTCCATGGTTAAAAGTAAGAAATTCAAATGAAATACTGAATATCAGCCAACCGAGATTACTGATAATACATTACCACCCGTTATGAGGGTAACAAGCGATCATCGGTGTCTCCATCTATGAACGCGGGACGAACAGTTAGGTCTACGATGTAAGGACTAAAGACAGTCATCTTAAAGATTTTGTGTTTTGAAAAAAATTATGTAATATTTTTTTACCTATATTAACTTTTCCAATTTCAAAATCGTCTGGGGGTTCGTGCCTGGGACTGAGGGGGTTTAACCCCTGAACCCTCCCTCGCTGCGTCATTGGTGCTGGCCTGTATGCGATATTATTGGGAGTTATATAAATTAACATCATACAAATGTTTGTCACAGGAAGTAACTAAAAAGAAGTACAAAATATATTTATGTAACTGCTAATGCAAGTATTCCTGCGTACAAGAAACTTCAGTTATATGCGAGGGATGTTTAATGAATATGATGTTAAAATTTAAATATCTATGGGACATTCTATATAGTACCGTTTTTAAAATATATATTAAGAAAAGTATCTATGAAAAACGTTAAAAGGACGTGTTTCATTTAGTGCGGGTATACTTTTATATACATCAGTTCTTCCGCTTAATACACGCATAATAATATATATTGTAATAAAGTATTCCTAAAGTATATAATCTAATAATCTATAGTATATATTATATAGGAGTCGAGACATCAAAAATTAAGAAATAAAATAGAACTTAACGCAAACTTTATTCATTAATATTACGTACTTAGTCACAGTAGTCACTGCCCAAACTCGCGTAAAAAGTCTACATTCCTCTCCTGACGCGGCATACACAGAACGATGTCTGTCGCCGATGACACTTTCCTTCAACCAATCATCAACATGTATTCCCTATCCTGTCAAGAGTACATGTTTGTGATTGGTTGAGGGAAAGTGGAGTTAGCGACAGACATGGTTCTGTGTATGTCGCGTAAGTCGTGAGTTTTTTCTGATTGGTCTAATATTTTGTCAGTTTGAGATCAGCTTGGGGACATGGGTATTAAATCAGTCCGCCAATTTCAAAGTACGTGAATGCCTTTTAAAAAGTGGGTAATTTCGGTGGTGAAATATAAAAGAAAACTCATAGTTACAAGCCAGATTCTACAATGAAAATTGATGTCTTTTCAACGGGTCAAAATGATCTATGTAAGTATATATAATTATTAAATATTTATAGAAGTGTCTAGCGAATTGATTACAAAATCAAATAATAATAGTATTATGTTACGAAGTTTAGTTTTTCAGGCGACTAATACTTTTCGTCTGTGTCTCATGCATTATTCTTTATTTGAATATTAACAAAAATATAGAAAATTTTATCTGAAATGGCGTGATTTCCAATTTTTCATATAACTAATCGAGGTGGCTGTGGTCTAAGTGATATTCTTGGTAACAATTGAACAGTTGCTGTCATGTCAGTATGGTTTTTTTGATGTCAAGTCAATTTAATTATAAGATTTACCATTTACCCGTGATAAAATATACTTAATATAGTATCTTATACTTATCATATGTACATCTAATTATAGTTTATTTAGTGTTTCTCTTACTCTGATTCGTTGTGTTTATATAGTGACTTTTAAATAATAGTGAAAGTTTGTCTTTTCAACGGCTCAAAATGATCTATGTAAGTACTTATCCTATAATGAAATCGATTATTTAAAGTAGGAGCTCGGATAGAAGTTTCTAGAAAATTTATTACAAAATATCAGTTAAAATAATTTTCTTGGGTTTAAGTACAGGTCGGATAAAATGAATATACCCAAAACGAAAAAAAATGCCACTTTAAAAAAATACGTATTTTTTTTTGGATTAACTTGTTATTACAATTTTATTATAACTACATATCGTCAGTTTGGAACAAGAGATGTATTGCTGTACCTATCAATTCAAAATATAAAATGATCCACAAAAAATCTTTTTATAGGTATTGAAAAAAATGCACACGTAGGTACAATTACAGTTATTATTCTTTTTAAGTATCAGTTTGGTGTTAATAATTATTCCAAAGAAGGCAGCAGGTAGTAGAGCACCAAGGAAATTTTGAATTAAACCTAATGTCATATTTTTAATCCATTTTAAGGCTATAAAATTTTATGCTCCTCGTTTTTTACAGAAATCAAGGTGCTCTGTCACATAGCTTCGAACGAAGGTCATCAGCAAAGCACCTCGGTTTTATAGGTTTTTTCTTTTTCTAAAGGCCCTTGAAATATAAAACTTTTCGAAAAAATTTGCTACTAGGTATTAAAAAAGGTTTGCTTCTTTCGAATGAAACCTATAGAGCATCTCGATTTTGTTAAAATTTGTTCTAGTAACTAAGAATAATTAATTGCTGTCTCATTCACCTATTTTTGCATGTATTACTTTTAAGCAAAACTACAGTTAACTTAGGTCCATGAGCGTATCTATTGAGGGAGGGAGGGGGACAGAAAAGAGGGCAGCTGCTCCCTGGATTTTCCAATAAATAGTTCTAAAAAAATCTTATTGGAAAAACACAAGAAACTACGTAAAATATTTTCGATTTAGTGTAGTAGAGAACATTTGTAAAATAATAATACCAACAATATTAATTTGAAAGCCCTGAAGCTAAATTTTGATTACCTACATAAATTTCCGTATGACTCAGGGCCGACGAGAGGGGGGGGGGGGTAGCCGGGACTAATTCCCGGGGTCCGGGCTCAAGTGGGGACCCGGCAGCTTTAGGTGAGGACAAGATAGAGGACCTTTTTTTTTAAATTTTCGCGGGAACCGACCTGGAAAATTGTCCCGGGGCCCGGCCTGGCTCTCGGCGGCCCTGGTATGACTAAAAAGAACCGACCAGACCGAAGAAAAAGGAACCTCATTCTTGCAATAGGCAAAAGCGGCCATCAGTGGCAATGAGGGTGGAACTTGTTGAGTTAATTGTCTTATCAGTTCAATTCAGTGTAAACAGGGGGTCAATTTAAAAACTTTGATTTTGATTGTAGTGCCCTCTAACGGGATAAAAACGGTTACTGGTCAAGTGTGACACTTCATTTGAAAGCCAATTTTATAAGCGATTTCATGTGTTGCATAAATTATTTTAGTTGATTAAAGTTTGTATTTCTTAGCGTTAGAGATCTACACGATTTTTCAATTATTTAAGTTCATGTTTCTTTAAATTATGTTTTGTTATATTGTGAATTAAATTACTAAATGCAATGTTACATTTTACAATACCTAACAGTTTTTTATCCCGCTAGAGGGCGTTAACATCAAAATTAACGTAATGAACAGTCATATTGCTGATGAATTCTCACTTCTTATAATACCACTAGTTCCTAAATTATTAAAAACTTGTACCACCCCATCCACTAGGCCTGTTTACGCAATATTTGAATGCCCCCTCACTTCCATTGTTACAAATTTTTCTCCCAAAAAGTTATACATGTATTTTCAATTTATATTGCTTCTGTCGAACTATTCCAGTTTTTTCTCATTCTCTCTCATTCCTACTAGATGTCCAAATTTACCATTTGACCAGAGCAATCCTTGTAAAATTATAGTAAAACTTGTTAGTAAAATATTTACCTGATAAATTTTTTTTTCAGGTTGATTTTACTACAATAGGTAAGTTTTGCATGTATTTAAATACTTACTTATTACATATATGAGTCGCCCAAGCTCAAAACTTTTAAATCAGTTAATTTATTTTTTATACAAACATTTATTATTCATCAGTCAAATCAAAAATATATTTAGATTTAGGTATTAAGGTTATGTTTATATATGACAGATGAAAATAAACAAGTGTCCATATATTTGTAATTCCCATGCATACCATTTCTTATCGTAGATTCTCGTCATTGGGGTCTAACCATGGGAGTAGAAGGTAGGGAGACACTGTCACGTGGTCCAAGACGGGTTCACTTCCGCCATACTTATTGCGTTCACGAATCCTTCAAACAGCTAATCGGGGTTTCAATCAACGTTTTTTCTTTTATGTGGTTTGCAAACTAAATATATTGTACATATTAAAAGTTAAACATTGGTTGCTTGTGCTCAACGTATTTTTAGCAACCTAATAGATATATAGATGAAGAAATTATCTGAAATAACATTCCATAACTAAATATACAACATAGTAAACAATGTGCAGGGCCGTATTTCAGATATTAATTGTGCTTTGAGTGAGAGTGTTGTAATCATATTAGGATTTTGTAAAGATGAATTAAAAATGAGAGAATTTGCTGCAGTTGGTGCAAAAATTAGATTTAAAATATTCATAAATATTCTCTTTGTTATCTTAAATTCTAGAAATTCTTTAGTTTAATTATAAAAAGCATTTGTCTTTAAAAAAATTATGAAGGTATAGAAAATTTTTAAATGACATGGTATATTAGTGCCAATATGCCAAATATCTCACAATCAATGTATTCGCTTACATGAAGGCCACAACAATGACTCCACCGGCCAGCAATTTCTGGGGGGCTATTTTCAAACTCGAGAGAAAGTGATTTCTTTCAAGATTTTCATGAGAAATATCATAATTCATCGTAAAAACAGTATTTTTAAAGCCAGTGAAAACTCGCAGACTGTTTGTTTAGGTTTATTTCAAGAGGATTAAAATTCTCCCAAGAATTTGAATTCTAATTGGCTTTAAAAATACTGTTTTCACGTTGATGACACTTCACATAAAAATCTTGAGAGAAATGAGTACTTTTAAAAAATCTACAAAAAAGAAAACAAGCATTATACCAAGAAAGAGAACGTTTAAAAGTGAAAAAAAGAAAAGTATAACTGAACTAAAAAGCAAAGAAAACAAAAAGGATTTAGAATTTACCAAAACTACAATGCTCTTAGGAATAAAATTAATATAATTTCAAATACACTACTTACCGGTCCTAGAATAGAAAATAAATCAATACAAGAGGTATCAGTGGTATCAAGAAAAATAGATCTTCGCTTCATCTGTACATTCCATGTTGTTGCAATGAAATGTAGCTCTTGTCAAAGAATCTATCGTGAAAAAGTTTTAAAAAACACAACTCTGACTTATTGAAAGAGAATGGAGATTTTAAATGTAATGTCTGCAAAAAAGTAAACTGGCTCTAGCAAATTTTATTTTTAAGCATATAGTGCAATTATTTTATTATTTTTTACATATTGTTATTGATTTGTGTTATTTTTGCTGAATGTTTTTATATTAGAATGGCAGTTAACGTGTTAATTGTTATATTGCATCATTCTCCCACTCATGTTTTCTGAGATTAGTGGAAAAAGATAGATAGATTTGTTATATAACAGAATGTTTTAAACTCGATTGGAATAGTTTTTCTTCAGTGAAAAAAATATTGAGTGAAAATATGAGGTCCTTTGTCTAAGGTGACAATAACTGTATGCCTTACTCTACCTAGAATTAATTCCAATTTGATATTTTTTGATTATATATAATTTTCTTACTAAAAATATTAGGTACGGGTAGATAACATAAGTAATACATTTTTATTTTATATTTACACGAACTGGTTTCCCTTTGTATTGGGGGGCTGTAGCCCCACATCCTTACAGATATTGTTCTGTAATCTGTGCGTAGAATAGATAATGTCCATGTGAGTGTAGGACAAAATATAGTGTATTTTTTGACAAATTATGTATTGAAAAATGTTTTAATAATTTGTTTATGTAAGATTATTTTATTTAAATGCATTGTTTTTGTTCAATTTTCATTTTTTGTATTAAATATTTTCACTTTTCAATGCATTGAGTCCTTGACTATCCATTTAGGTTTACCGGTCGCTTATTAAATGACATTATCAGACATAAATGACCTTTCGTTTCCTTTCTTCCTTTGTACTCAATCCCAACCACTCACATATGGCTACCCTTACCATTAAGTAAAATAAAAGACAAATTTTAGATACCTATGTCTAGGTACAACCTTTATTTCACATCAGGTACATGGTAAATTTAAAAACATATTAAACAGTTATTTCATCGGTAAAACGACTCTTATCATCTAGATTGATAACGATGGAATGTGTCCTGGCATGGCCAGACATAAGGTAACGACCGTTGCTGTCATTTCCAGGTTTGGCTTCTTTTATTTTGACGTCAGGGACTGAAGGGGCATTTAGATATGTTGAACTCGATGCTGGTGTTTCTTCGATAGCAGATTTCGTGTCGTTTTCTGCGATTTCCTTTTCTTCTGTGCCATCTCCTTTGGTAACGTCTGGACTGTCACCATTAGCACTTGGTTTTGTTTCCACGGCAAACGAAACGCTCTGCCTTTTTATCTTTACAGGAGATCCTTCTACAGCTGTATCAGCTATTATGCCTGAAAAAACAATATTTATCAATATACAAATAATTTTTATTACATGAAAGTACCTAGATGTTTATTATATCTGCCTTATTTTATAATAAAGATTACAGAAGACTCGATTTTATAACCTATATTTTCGAATTTTGTGGTGGCAGCTTTTTGGGAAACTTTTAACCCAGTTCATATTGTAGCATTTATTTATTTATTTAAAACTATTTACAATAAAATACTAATTAATTTATGCTTAAATATTTATCATCACTATTTACATTTCTAAATCTAATTTACTTATGACTTATTTTTTTAAATATTCTTTGGCAATATGAGAAGTGGGGCAGAGAGGGACTTAAATTAGAGTATAACCAGATTGGTCGAAAATGGCTCGCATTACAATGTGAAGCAATTTTGTTGACTAAATTGTTACAAATGTAAAACAAGTGCTACTCTGTAATTTTCATAAGTAATATATTCATTATCTTAAGAAAACTGCTCGAAAGGCATGGTTAATAAATTTTGATTTAATGCTACGATTAAACGATTAAAGATCAAGTAAAACTGTCAATCATAATTTTATGATAGTACCTATAGTATAACAATATTGAGCGATAAAAATTACTTTATATCTTTTCTATTAATCTGATGTACAGCTATAGCTATATTAATATCCAAAGACGATACGATAAGGATTACAATAAATAAATAACTTATATCATTATGAAATAAGAGATTTAGCCTTCCTGTTTCACAGAATTGCCTAAAATAATTTGGTATCCAGATTTAAAATGGAACTTAAGGAGCTCTCAAACGCCCCTTTACTTTCTGAGTGCTTCTGATAAGAATATTTTATTGGCTTTAGAGGGAGTCTTGCGACAAATGATAAAAATTATAAATGCTTCAACATGTGAGAAATGATTATTTTTGATGTATTGCATATTTTCGTTGGTTATTTAATAAAAACTCGAAGAAATTCTTGATTACTATTTGATTTATTTGTTTATTTGAAGTTGTAATAAACAAACATCGCTACTACAAAGTTTTTAACAAAATTCGTAGAAAAACAAAAATGCTTAAATAATCAGAGCAATAGCAAACACACACCAAAGCCACGGAACTCCTACAAACTAATCTCACTTTGGCCCGGACAAACAATTTTTTTAAGTTATGTTCTATATGTATTTATAGCTACATCAAAAATACCGCCAGGCATGCCTTCCTTCGGAGTGTATGTTGAACAAAAGACAAATTTTTTCTAATGGACCATGATTATTCGTACGAATAGTTAATTGACGGAAGCGAATACCTGCTATTTTAATCATAGAATGCATATGTTCCAATTTTTCAATTTTAAACTCTTTTCTAATAGATTTAAATGAGACAAATCCTGGACTTTTTGAAGTATAAATATTGGATAAATTTATTTTGAATAGTTTCCAAAATTTGTTTTAAATGTTCTATTTGCTACGAAAGAGATAAAAAAAATAATTTATAATTTTACTATTCCACAATTAAATATCAGTATTATTATATCTATATTTAATTCACAAAGACACCGCTGAGGTTCAAACTTAGAAAACTCAGTTGTCAAACTGCAAAAAAAGTGATGCGTTCAGTTCCATTACAGCTAAACGACTGTGTATACATTTAACGCATATATGCTCGAAGATAGTATCAGATAAATATTTTATGCCTGGCATCGCTGTACGACGAGTTCGAAAGGTGCTCGATTAATGATGGACAGCTTAATTTTAGCGTCTCCTATTGGCAGAACCGAGCCTTTGTCAAATTTCTATTTGTAGTGTCACGGTAGCCCGTAAGAAATGCCTGGTCAACGTGGACCTCGATATCCAATCGTAAGTCTGTGATTTTGCCCAAGTTATGCTTTAATTTGTTCTATGCTACGTTTGGACGTGTCATCGCCCTGTTGAGTGAGCACAGGTAAACAAAGTTTGTTTAACCAGTGTTGTATTTATATTACTGTTTGGATTTTTGGTTTATAAAAAAAAGGCTTCTTGGAAGCCTTTTGAAAGAAAGTGATGGAAATAATGTAATCCCTGAAGGTATGTAAATAATTATAATTCTGATTGAATATTTTTTAAATAAGTAGGATCAGTTGCACCCCAAAAACAACTAAATTGATATTTAAATACCCACATAAATTATAAATTTTAAACAGTTCAAAGTCGGATTTCGCAGTTTACATTATTGTTTACCTATACAGGGTGATTCACAAAGAAAAGTTATGTTTTAACTGCAGATTCTATAGTGAAAACTGTTTATTTTTGGCTTAATAACTGGGGTCAAATATTAATATATACTGAGAAAATGTAAAAAATGTAAAAACTGTATGAGAACACTATTAAAAAAAGTGACAAGCTGAATAAAGTTATATTAATTAATTACTAGTAAATAGATGAGACTTTATTAAGATTACCATTTCAATGTTTAGGGTACAATTAAATGAAACACATCTTCTTTATCTTGTCTCAATTCTTGGATTTCTTCAGTAATGTTATTCAGCTTATTATCCATTGCTCATTTTGTTTGTCTCTTCCCCCTATCTTCTTTTCCGATTCATCCATTTTATTAATTAATTCTTCCTTATCTTCTTTCCTATTCTTCATTAATTCTTCCTTATCTGCTTTTGTGGATGTACACTCTATTTGCCATGAACATATGGGTGTCTACTTATTTAATAATCTCATTTTTTATGTACTTGTATCTTTTTTAAATTTTAATTGAGACAAATAAAGATTATTATTATTATCTTCGTTCCTATTCTTCATTAATTCTTCCTTATCTTCTTTCCTATTCCTCATTAATTCTTCCTTATCTTCTTTCCTATTTTCATTAATTTTTCTCATGTTCTCATTCATTCCAATGATCGCTTGCATTAAGTCCTTAATCTTTGTTTCTCTCTCCAATTTTATGACGTCATCCAGAAATTACCATGTATCTGTAATCCTAACAATTTTTTAGCTTCTTTGGTAATATTATGGATATCCTCATCAAATTTAAAATTATTTTGAAAAACTATTACTGAATTTAATTTTACGAACAATAACTCGTTTAAAACAAATTAAAAAAAGTTTTCTTAATTTATTTTTCTATTTTTTTTTAATTTATGATTAAAGAAAATGCACAAATTGTTTACTTAGATTGATAGTTATTGCCTGATCTGATTTGACAGCAGTTGTACAGATATTTTTTACGATAAAATCCGTGCTGTTCGTTTGATATTTATTTTTAAAAATGGGCACATATATTACAAACAGTTTCGCGCACAATTTAATTTACCGGGTGTTCTAAATTAAAGCGTTACAGCTATATACAGCTTTTTATAAAAAAAACGTTTCAGACGAAAGTTTTATAGTTTTGTAGGGAAAAACTTTTGGCTAAAATCGTTTTTATAGCTAACCATAATATGGCCAACTTTTTTTTTCGCGCAGCAACATTTTCAAGTAGCTGTTACTCAAAAAGTAAAAGTCCAATAAAAAAAATATTTCCCTCAAAAGTTTCTTATTTTTTTATGTACTTTAAGAATATGTAAGAAAAAAATGGGATTCCCATTTAAAAAAACAAAGTTCACCTCGATATGGCCATATTATGGTCAGCTATAAAAAAATGAATTTAGCCAAAATGTTTCCCCCAAAAAACTATAAAACTTTTGTCTGAAACTTTTTTTTTTAATGCATATTTTCGGCGGTATTTAACTGTAACACTTTAATTTGAACACCCGGTATATGGGACGATAATTATCTACTTTATTTTTCCCCCTTTTAAATTATTAAGAACCAAACAGTGACAACCTTGGAATACAATAGTACAATTGACTGGACTATAGTCCATTTTAATATTTAATATTTTAGCAACTGTTTTTCTAAATTCCAACTACTGAAATGTATGTTTGTTTAAACTTAATTTGGATACAGAGAGAAACGTACAATGTTATTTCAAACTCTCTGCTTAAATCAAAAATCACATATGCTTTTAGGAACATGTAAAGTTGTTTTGAGTACTTTCCCAAAACTTTTAATAGCTTAAATTCAATTTGGGTTATAATACTGCAATGGAATAATTTTTTAAGGACTCTGCGTGAGTCCGTCCAAAATACACTAACTTTAGAGTGTTAAGTCAAAAATGGGAAACAGTTTAAACACATCAAAGTAGGTACTTAAAATGCAGTCCAATATTAATTATTATTAAATAGTAATACTAACCTAGACTGGCGCTAGACCTGATAGGATTCGGGTTTGAGCTATCATGCGTCCTAGCTGCATCCTGCATGGCTGTAATTTTGAAAGCTAAATGGCGATTCCCCATTCTCATATTTCTTTCACGTAGGACTTCTAGCTGAGTGTATAGCCTAAGAAATTCTTCTTGGACATCTTGTTCATTGTATTTGGAGCAATTAAAGTCCACGACACCACCTCCTGTAGAAGAATTCGTGCTGTACTGTGGATTGTCGGACCTACTTTTGCTGATAAATTTCGATGACGGTGTTTTCGACACCATTGAACTCTCGTCGGTACGACCTTTATTTTTAAATACCATAAATACCTGCAAAAGACCGAAATAACTATCTTTAATACTCGTATATTATTTAATACACGTAATAAAATTTCAAAATATATCAACCGTGAAAGGTTCTCTCTAAGATAAAAATTAAATATAAAAATTTTAGATTTTATTATTAAACTCAATAGGGACTTCTTGTGATTAATGACAACCTCTTATAATGGAAAATAACTTATATAAAATAGTATACTCGTGAAGAACCTTCATTCGCTTATCCTTAAACTTGATATTACATTACCTATGTAATATAAAACGTAGTTTAATATAGGTACACCTTACACACTTTCTAGTACGTTTATGATATTTTTGTCTTGTTGACTACCTAATATCTCTCTGTTCTATATTAGTAATTTTTTATGTGTAAAAAGAAGTAATTGAGTCATCTGATATATATGAAACAATCTCGGAACTGGAGAAATGTATATATTATATGTCATTAGATTGGCGGCAAAACACATTTTACTGATAATATAATGGCAATTTGAACAATAACTCAATAACTGCTTGATATATAAAAGAACGTATTGAATTTTTGAAATCTAATGTTCATTTTATACCTTTGTGTCCATTTTGAACTATAGGAAACATTTAAAAAAATACAATTTTCGGTCTCATGTGAGATGAGTATAGAAAGGAAATAAAAGAAAAAGGATGCAAAGGAACCTGGAATAGCAACATAGAAGAATAAGAGTAAGAAATGCATAGATAGTAGAACTAAAAAAAACGACTACTTGTTTCGTGTGTTTTGCACAGACATTTCCGTTTAATAGAAAAGTGAAAGGTTATATTTCCTCTTTAGGTTTTGAATTTTTTATATTAAATAAATTTGTTAATCACTGGTCTGCATAAAAATCAGCCCTGACCATTTATGGTTATCAATTTGATTTAGATGGGTGAGAAGATGGCTGTAAATAATAAAAAATAGAAGATAAAATAATAAATGTAAAAATTAAAATAATAATAAATATAAAGAATAATAAATAAATACATGCTCGTATTCCACTTCCTCCGAATTGTTGCTACATAGAAGAGATCTAAGGGTACCAGATCACTTTGGTAACATGAGCTAACAATCCTAGATCCCTAGACGTGAAGCGAGTGTCCATGTATAAATCCCTCTCAGTATTCTCTGTATTAAATGGGATTAGTAGGGCATTTAGGTTTTAATTAACTTACTAACAATTTACTTTACTTTAACAATTTACTTTACTTTAACAATTTACTTTACTTTAACAATTTACTTTCTTTAACAATTTACTTTACTTTAACAATTTACTTTACTTTACTTTAACATATAGGCTATAACTGTATAACGTAACTCTTACTTTTTTTAACCCCTTATCGTACCTAGTAATTGACTGTATGACGTTGCTAGCTAAAGGACCAATACAAATTAAAAAAAAATATAAAAAATCCAACAATCATAAACGTAATATACACAATTATCCTATGTTACAAATGTTTAAATTAATTCTCTCGCAACCGTCTCGTGTGTTTTTTCTTCTTCTTCTTCTTTAATGTACCCCATTCTTCTTCGTCTTCAAGTCTCTAAAGAGTCTAAGGACTTTCGTAAAGCCTCTGGATCAACCGTCGGACATCACAATTCGATGGAATGATTGTAAGGTTATGTTACCAAAGTGATCTAGTACCCTCGGATATCTTCTACTTACATATTTTTATTATTGTTGCTGTACATTTTTATTATTTAAGCGTGTTTGAAGAGAGATGAGTAAGACTAAAAGCTGGAATATGCAGAAAATAAGTGAAACAATTGCAAAAAAAAAACGAAAAAATCGATAATTTTTAATGATTTTTTTTTTAATTTAAGGGGGAAAATCCCCGCAAAGTATCAAAAAGTGATAAAACTGTAAGCGATGGATGTAAATAGGGGTCATATTCGAATTCATTCATTCATTATTTTTTTTTGCTGACCAGTGTATTCATATGAAGCAAAACTTACTAGACACTGTTATTTTTGTTAAATCAAGCTGTTTTACGAAAGCATTTACATTAAAAGCTGTGACCTGTGACTTATTACATAAAGAGTTTTTTGTGATAAGAAACAAAATTAATTACTGGCGAATGAAGGTTTGAGTAAAAAGGTCGATTCTGATTAGTAAAGTAAACTTTGCTGGAGATCAAAAGATTTCTCCGGGTCTGTCACGTGCTGGCGCAAGTAAAACATTTATTTTATGAACCCAACAATGTATTTTTAGGTAATTTGTTAAAACACTGAAAATCGCCATCAAAAGATTCATTCACTTTTCGCATTTTGTCTCATTATCATTAGAACGATTTTTTCAACCTCACTTTTCTTTTATTAATTTTAAGGTATTTTTTTAAAATTTGAATGGCATGTGCACATAGTTTAGAAGGTAATTTAGAGAGTAAAAATACTATTTAAAATCGAAGATGGTCACCATAAGAAATAAGAAAAGATACAAGGTAACTCGAAAAAAAAAATATCTCTACAAAAATTTTCATATCTAGGACTACAGGGTGAAGCATATAATTCATCGAATAAACTATGAAATTGAGAAATAAATGGGTTTTAGATGTGAAATCTGCAACAAAAATATTAGCCTTAATGAGATACTTTCGATTTATTAATTTTTGGAATTGCTTTAGTCAGCTTTGTTTAAGACCTTAAAAACAATTTAATAACATTTCGAATATATTTAATTTTTTTAAAATACGTACCTTACTTCCGAAGATTAAACACAGAAGTAGAGTAACAGTAAGCTGGGTATGACAGAAGAATATAATATACATCAAATCGGGATTAGCTGGTTTTTGCAAAAATAACCTGCAACAATAAACCTAATTCAATTTCAATTAAAAATAACATTTTTACAATAACTTTTATGAACTTCTTTGTTTTACAATAATTGGACCTTTAAAAACTTCCCAACTGAGAAAAACATATTTTTCTATGTGAATCTCATAATACCCTAATTATGTATATACATGAATATGAGTATAATGAGCTTCTTTGTAATTTTGACGATACGCGATTTATATCACCTTCTACCCAAGAAATCCAACAGAAAATGCTGACACGATGCAACTCAAATATCATTTACTTTTTATATTTCTGTTGCTTTTAACGATAGTTTTTTTCAGTCAGAAATTGGTATTAGACGTAAGATCGTTACATTTTAACTTTGTCGGGCTATTTATAATTTCTTCAATACACATATTTTTTTAAACCTAATATTCGTTCTACTTAACATTTTTGGCGCAGTCAGTAGGATTAAAAAAGGCATTATTAACCGATCAATATTTAAATCAATAAGTGGAAATTTTTACCCTAACGATGGAATACCTATATGGAAGGATATTTTTAATTCGTAACGTTCATGCAGTCCTTAAGCGGCTAATGAAGTTCAAAAATCCGGAGGGTCAAATCGCCAGATGGATTAAACGACTTCAAGAGTACAACTTTAAGATCTAACGTGGAGCTGGAATAAGCCACATAAATTCCGATTCTCTTTCTAGAAGACCCTCATTCTCACTGTAACAGAGTATATAGAATGAGAACAACTGTAGTCAATAATGAGTGGCAAGAAGTATCTAAATTCTCTCCAGTGGTTTAGACATATTTGGCTCAATGGGACTCTTTTATCCTGGAAGAAGGCTTATTAAAGCAAGTACTCGAAAAGGATGATGGTTCTGAAATCAGAAAACAGTTGCCTATTCCAAAGACTAGAATAGCCGAAGTCTGTTACACGACAGTCCATCTTGGTGTTAATAAAACCCTTTAGTGAGTTCGTGAGAGGTTTTACTAGATGAACAGTTCCGATGATATAAAGGATTGGTGTAAGAAATGTACCACACTTGCTATGAGTAATCCAGCTATGAAGAAAAATGGACGGCATGCATAAGTTGGTTCGCTCACATTTTTAAATCGCCAGCGAAGAAACAGAACGATACCCAAACAGTGCCGCAGAGAGCCAGACCGGGCCCCAGGACAGTTCTCCAGATCGGGATTCGCGACAATTTTATAAAAAATTAAATAACAAAAGCAAAAATGTATCCTCCTCCTCTCCTTGAATCTCTAAAAAAATGTCTTCAAGTAAGAACTTACCACCTCTTCTGTCGAACTTCTGAAAGTAACAAACAACACCGCTGCCGGGCCCCCCTTATACCGCTGCCGTGCCCCCATTTGAGCCCGGGCCCCGGGAATTAGTCCCGGCTGCCCCCCCTCTAGTCGGCCCTGTACCCAAACCATAGAAGAATGTTTCAAGGAAGGCGACAAAGTCTGGCTGCATAACCCCAAAAGGCAGAAGGGTTATTCTCTAAAGCCCCAAAGGTCATAGGAAGGCCCGTACCTCATCAAGAAAAAATTAACAATGTTATTTACCGTATAAGTAAGATCCCGAACGGAAAAACAAAGGTAGTCCACCAAAATCGGCTGGCGCCATATAGAGGAAGAAGCAGTAAACCAGCCACAAGAAACACCTAACCTTGTCTTCGAAGAATTTATGGGTGCATATGGAGGTACCGGAAAAGCAGGATACGGTGTTACAACCGTGCAATAACAAGCTCACAGTTCCTAAAGACTACTCGCTGATCCATAGCCAGCTTCAATGAAGCTCGAGGTAATCTACGTTCCAGAAGAAGTTTGATCGATTGCCAGAACTTCAAGGTCTATTACCAGCCCCTGGAAAAATTTTAAAACTTCAAGATGGATCACGTTACCAGTTCTATTTGGTAACAAAGAACACCTTCCCGGATCGAGCCATTTATTATGATGTTTGGGAAGTATTACATATTACGTACCGAAACTAGCCATGCCAAAGATAGAAAGCAACCAGCTGAATTGGAGGATCATTAGAAACATGGTGGAAGCAATCTTTCAAGATAATAAGTTCAAATACTGGTCTGCAGCCATTCGCTCAGTATCCAGATTACAGAAAAGACGGTCCCTTGTTACTTTCATGCAAATAGAAATTGTAGAAGAGGGTCCACTTGCAGAAGAAAGTATTTTAAGGAGGGGGCAATGTCGTGCGAAGCCGTTTTTGGCCGGTTTGGACCTGTTTTTTGTTGCGTCTGGCGCTGGCGATTGAAAGACTGAAAGACTTGTTCTCTCTGTACGCAGTGACGCGTAGAGGAAGGATTTCGAGAACTTCTAGACTGGCATAGGGCATTCTAGTTAGGATTGGATTTTTTCTAGGCTGTTACATTTTTATATATAAATGGGTTATTTTGCCGCTTAAGCGAGGTTATAAAATAAATTTTGTCAAGCAAAGGTAAATTGTAAGTGTAAAATAGTGTTTAAGAATAAATAAATAAATTAGTACTTAGTGTAAATAAATTATAAATAAACTGTTTTTAAAATAAACTATCGTTAAAATATCGAGAGATTTAAAATATTTAGTAAGGACGTAACAAAAAAGTGGTTTAAACGTGTAATCACAGTTTCTAGTGATGAACATTGGTCTAAACAAAAATTCAGTTTTTTAGAGAGCTTACCATTTTTTTACATAAAATTTTTACAGGATTAGGTATTATGTCAAAAGCACATATTTAAACAAAATACTACCAAATAATTGTTTAATAGTTGTTTAAACCTTTTTATTTTAACCCCTAGAAATTTGTTAAATTTATGACCTAATTTTTGTTACATCTTGTTAATTATGTAATCAGGATCCCATAATATATCTACCCTTTACCCTAAAATATATGAATTTTAAAAACCCAATTTGTAATCGTTAAAAAGACATTTCTCTCGTTGCTGTCTCCAAATGATTTTATGTTGAAATAAGTCATATTTATGTCAAAAGCAGTTTGCTTCAATAATTTCCGAGTAATTCATAAAGTAGATTCGTTAAGAAATGATATGCATTATATGCATTTGTACTCATACTTTACTATATTTCATTTCAATAAATTTGAACAGCTACTTCCTTTGCGTTATTAACTACATCAGGAACTGCAAATATAATAAGGGGCTGAATCGGAATAATAAGAAACATAATGATCTCTTTTGGCTTTGATGCTCAGCAATACCCATGTGAGAAAAATGTTTATCGATCCATATTGCTTGTGCTTGCACTTATATTTTCAATTTAAATATTAAATAAGCTTGATTCGAAGGACGCATGATATAAAAAAATAAAGTACAAGAAGTAAGTATTACTTACTGATTAAATTATAAAGCGAAACATGCAAACTTTATACCGATCAACCATAAATGAATTGCTTCTATTATCGAATGCACGCAAAACCAAGATTTTTATTACAATTAGTGGTTACGAATATTTTTAATAAAAATTCCATACATGAATTAATAGAGAGGCCGAGAGGACTGTGGCATTTGTTCACTTTATGCAAATTATTAAATCCATTTCGATATGTTTCGTACTCACTCATTTCATGAACAATGATTTATATAAAGGTTTCAAAATTATTTCGTACATAAACATTAATTCATTTACGTGCTCAACGATTCAACGGTAATAAAAAGTAAATATTTGTATGCTGATTTGAAGCCATTCTTGTCATTATTTTAATGTATACGTGTCGAAAATATAATCAATTTCAATTAAACGCTTTTTAAAACATTTTATTATTGAAAATGTTTATGTCCGTATGTTATATAGGGTGTTTCATTGGTAAATGGGCATATGTTAACTGCAAATGGTGTTCACCTAGGTGGTTCCAAAAAACCCATACTTCATGGGTCTGTCGCCCTTTATCAATTTTGCCGATTTCTTTCTAGGCTCATAACTTTTGAAACACGCTGTATATTTTTTTGGTATACAAGTACACCTTAATTTGTCAAATCCAGTGACGTATTAATAATAGGAAAAATCCAGGTCCGGATTAACAAAAAATTTACAAATTTTTCGATACCTAAAACAATACCCTGTATATCATAATTTTGAATATCTGTTTACAAATTCGAAAAGAGCAGAAAAAATTAAGTTACACCAAGTGGTTTTGGTATTTCGCATACAGTTTTCTTACTTATTAATTTGAGTCAAATCTAAGTGTTTCGATAAAAAGATAAAATAATATTAAAAAATAGTATATTGTTTCACGAGTGACGAAAAATGATTTTCGACGAGTAAAACACTATACTTTTTCTACGAACTCTATTAAATACAATTAAATATTTCAGAAATATTATTTATTATTTAAATATTGATTTATTGTTATATTTGAACAATTGTTCAAAATTATGGGGGTATCACACTCAAGCTTTTTATTTATTGAGGTAGATGCCGACATATTTGTTCTACTGTTAAATGTCATTTCAGATGATGATGCGCCATAATCGGATGAACTACGTATTCTGTACCGTTCTTACTGTAGGTTCTGTATCTTTTTCTTTGTGAAATTTTCCATTTCGTTCTTTATATTTTTTAAAATATTTTAAAACTTTATTTTTCTTTTTCATAGAGTAAACATTGCAGTATCTAGTGTTCATCTATAAAGGTGATAAAATATCTGGAACCAGCCAATGTTTCGATCTGCATCGGCTCACATATGTCTGTGTGGATTATTTCCAGTGGTTCTTTTGTCTTATTTTCCTCACTTGTCTGAAATGATAATCGTGACATTTTCCCTTTTATACAGGTTTCGCAGTCATTCAGCTTTTCATTTAAATTGAATTTTAGGGCATTCAGTTATTCATTTTTTAGTAATGATTTTAATTCGGCTTAATTTAAATGACCTAACTTTTTAGGTCACTTCAATATTTCACTTACTTGTATGTTATGAGCTTCATATGTTGCATTAAACTGAATATAATATAAATTCTTTGTTTTCTTTGCTTCTATACTCCGTTTTTTAACTAGG